GTGTCAAGAGAGAGGACTCAGGAGAGGTGAGGAGAGAGACTCGGGAGGTGAGGAAGGTCTGATGCCCCTCTGCTGGGGAGCCCTTATATACCCATAGGACAGGGGGCGGGAGGACACGTGACCACTTCCCTGTTGCTGTTTGGGTCAGGTGTCATGGAACAGTCTTATAATTCACAAATAACTTTCCTGGTTTAGAATGCCAGCTAGGTTTGTTAGAATGCTTGCATATTTTTTTCTGAGTCAAATGCCAGAAAGGCACCTGAGGCCCCAGGAAAGGGGGTGCCGCCACCAGCCACGTGTGCATCATCAGCCCACACGACCCCACATGCTGTGTCCGAGCTGATGCTGTGGTTTCTGAGCAATCAGCTTTCCCAGGCGGCCGTTCCTGGGGCAGCCGGGAGTCCCAAAGTCAAAGACTGCAGAGCGGAGGGTCTGGTTCAAGGGCACTGTCAAGTGCACAGTCTGCCTTTACCCTCATGGGGGTTCCCTGGGAGTAGGGTCCATCTCTGGGTTCTATTTTTTAGTATATTTCACATTGTGTGATTGCCTAGAAAGCAAAATTAACTTTAGCAATGCTCATCTTTTTTTTTCTGATCATTCCTATTGCATTAAAGTCACAAGATATTTTCTAGTTAGAATGTAAAGTGAATTGGAATTGTGAAGTTTTATCTGATATCTAACAGGAAAATCTACATGGCAAACAGATAGAGCAAAACATATTAACTGTACATATATTTTTACCATTAATGTTCAGTACCAAGGGGCTGACATGACCCATGCTGCACAGTTTGATGTGGTCTGGTGTTGGGGTGCTGCTTCAGAGCCTTATTTTCTTCTCTAACTCAACCCACATAATGACAAAATGAAAGCATCTATCTCACAGAAATTGCCATCACAGAACTTTGGCAGGTCAGGGCCTTGATGAGTTAATATCTATTTAGACAAGTCTCAGCAACAATGTGGTTTGGAATGACAGAGGGAAAACTGCTTCAGTGGGATTTCCCGTACAATGGACATGCTGAAGCAGACAATTCCTTGTTGGGTGGGATGACCCTTGGGTTGGAGGCTCTAAGCACACCCCAGGTCTCCAGCCACTGACTGGTGATGACAGCCTGTTTCCCACTTGTGACAACTAACAAGGTCTCAAGACAAGGCTTGATATGCAGGGCCCCAAAAGTAACCCCTGAGGTTGTAAAATGATATTGCACGAATATGTTTTTCTTTCCTTTTTTTTTAAGATTTATTTTATGCATGCATACAAGAAGTGGGGGAACAGGTGAGAGATGTAGGGGTGAGAGGACTCCTCAGTGACAGAGTAGGGAGCAGAACAGGCAGATTGACTGAAATCCACTGCTGAGGGGAGCAGCAGGTGAGGTAGAGAAGTCTGCTGTGCCCTGTGGGTCAGCTCCCTCAGCAGCGATCCAACTTTGGCAGCAGTGGCTGAGGATAGCTTCACAGTGCTGTGCTTTCACCCCGTGTACCATTTTCATTTGAAATATTTAGGGAGAGTCCCAGGGACACACGATGGGGCTGGTAGGAAGAAGACAGGAGAGGCCCATTGCTCGGGTTAGAGCCGACACCGTATTTACAAGCAGCCAGTATGCCAAACATGTGGCCGTAAGTGGCTTCATTTTTCCTTGGTGTCAGAAGCCAGAGGCAGGCAGGTCTCCACAGTAATAACACCACGAAATCTCCCCCTCTTTAGAAAGTGGTAGAAAGAGTTGGCAGGAGAACAGCTGCCCCAGGATGGCTGTTGTGCCAGGGGAGCCTTCTTTTAGCTCCTGTCCATCTCTTTTTGATGCTTTTCCCTTCTCCCCGGTCTCTTACGTTCAGAAACCTCGCTTCATTTTGTAGCTTCTGCTAGCTTTTCCGTTTCGCCTTGCTGAATCGCCTGATGTATCCATGTTGCATATTTGTCTTTGTGTCTTGCTGTACAACACACAATTCCCACGACCTCCTTCCATTTTGCTGTAAATAGTAGCATTTTGTCTTTCTTGATGGCTGCATAGTATTCCATTGTGTTGACTTCCACACCTTCGTGGTTCAGGCATCTGTCATTAGGCACTTAGTTCTGTTTCCATGTCCTGGCTGTTGTGAATAATGCTTCAATAAACATGGCAAAGCATATAATTTTTTGGACGGAAGGTTTCGAGTTCTTTGGATAGATGCCCAAGATATTGATTAGTTGGAACTGAAATAAACAGAGACAGAGAAGATCCAAGAATAATGTCTTTCTAATTATCTAGCTCCCTAAAAATAGGAACTAACTCATCTCTTCTATCCCTGGAGGTGAGAGGCAGTTTTATCATACCAGACTAGGATTTACAAACTCTGTTTCCAATGCACTGTAGTTATTCTGCAATACTTCTTTTAAATTGCAAAGTTCTTTCTTTTCTGTTCTGTTGCTCAAATTTTATCACCGCTTTCTAGAAGCTCTGATGACACTGGAATACACTTTTTTATATGTGGCTTCCAAATCTACTTAATTAAACTATCTTTTCTCTTGCTAATTTCCTCTGTGTCAATTTAATTATTTTCTAGCCTTATGGACTGACTAGGGTAGAGAAAAATTAGCTTCTTCCCCAACAGTTTTGCCCACACAGACAATCAGAGGCTGAGTGCATGTTGTTCCCCAGATGGCTGAGGAGGACAAGATGTATCGCTTTTGCAAGGCTCGCCATCAAGCTAATGATCCAGATTCCGGGGTCACCCTCTGTGAAGTCTAAGAAAACACAGTGGTAAGGAGTCTTATATCTCTCTGTAAATTGACAAGAGAGAGCTGGAGGGGTACATCTTTGGGTTTAGCCATTCTAATTTAGAATCAGGGCTGATGGACTTCAGAGCAGGCTGCCCCAAACAATGCCACTTTGACTTACTACTTTGAAGTAAACTAACTTAAGAAATTGCTTGTAAAAAGTAACACCATAAAACTAAACCCTTCTGTCTTTGAAAACAGGAGATAAATTTGTTCTTTCCATTCTTGTTATCCTAAAATATGTAAAAAACTGGATGCTCTCGCCATTTTCCTGGGCCCCATAGCTATGGCATCTTTATACCTTTGAAATTATTTTTTTCTCCTGTTAATCTGCCTGGTGTCAATATGATGATTAGACTAGTCAGAAGAACTGAGAGGGGAAGGGGAAAATTTCCCCTCATGAACAAATTTTTGCCAAGTCAGCCAGGTGAGTTGCTAGCCAAGAATGCTAAAGACATTCTGGGCTTCTGAAAAATGTTGCCAGAAGGAAATAATTCCTACCACATCAGCTTTCTAGGTCTCTGTTTGCAGGCCTGGTAAAGGTGAGAGGGGTGATAGTCCTTTTTCCTGGCTGGAGAAAATACTTATGGAATTAGTTTCTTTTCTTTTTTTGAAGATGTATTCATTTATGCATACAGAACTGGGGTACAGGGCAGTGAGAGGCTTCACCAGAGATAGAGTGGGGAGCAGAATAGGCAGACAGATGAAACACACTGCTGAGGGGAGCAGCATGTGGGTGAGGAGAGGTCTGCTGTGCCAAGTGGATCACCCCCTGGGCCAGGGATCGAACTCGCACTGACGCGGCTGTGGCCAAGTTACAGTGCTGTGTCCCAATTTACCACGCCAACCGGTAGGGCCAGAGTTAGTTTCTTTTTAAAAAAATGTGTGCGTGTATGGCCCTCCCTGGTGGCGCAGCGGGTTAAAGCACTGCACTGAGAAGCTAAAGCCACTTCAGCATGAGTTCGATCCCCGCCTGCCCCGGAGGTGACCACATGGCATGGCAGACCTCTCCTGATCCGCCCGCTGCTCCCCTCAGCAGTGTACTTCGTCGATCTGCCTGTTCTGCTTCCCACTCTGTCTCTGGTGAAGCCTCTCACTGCCCCTGAGCCTCTGGCCTGTACCCCAGTTCTGTATGTACAAAAAAAAAAAAAATGTGTGTGTGTAGAAGAATTGTGAGGAGGCATAGAGAAGACTCACCAGAGACAGAGTGGGAAGTAGAACATGCAGATCCATTGAAACACTCTGCGGAGGGGGATGTGGGGAGACAGGAGAGGTCTGCTGCACCATGTGGGTCACTCCCTGGCAGGGGAGCTCACTCAGGCCAAGGGATGACAGTGCTGAGACAACCCCTGGGCCACCAGGAAGCCACATGGAATGAGTTTCTTGGGCACTGGGACCTGACGAAATCTGATGAGTCTCCTTGTATTATGATTCATGATTCTTCTTTTTTTTTTTTTTTTTCCCTCAGAGAAGGTCTGTTTCTATTCCTTTCTTTGTCTCATGTGTTTGTTTGTCAGGAAGCAGGAAAACTCTAGGGTAGCATAGATATCCGAAGCTTGCCTTTAGCGCCAGCGTAGGGACTGGTCATTTCTCAGTTCTCAGAAACTGGCACTCATGTGGATGAACCCTGCCGCAGGTGCTGTATAAACCCGGCCGGTCTTTCCCTTTCCTCTGGTCTGGGCCGTGGGGCGCTTATCGGGTGCCTCCTAATAGCTGTCAAGGTGACTGCATTCAGGATGTGAAGTGACAAGCAAGTCATTCTTATTGTGAGGAGCTCGTCATAAGAGACACCCACCCCAGGGGGGCCTCTGCCGTCTTACCCTTCTCTGCTTGTGCGGGAGGTGTCATTCCGGTATCATCTCTCCTGGATACAGCTCAGCAGGTCTGTAACTGAAATTGTCTTACGTCCTCTTGAGACACTATTGTCACTATACTAACCTTACTTGGTGGTTTCACTTTCCTAGACTAATTGCGTAGTAGCTGTTCATCCCCGTGTGGGCCGAGAACACTAACACGTGAGCTGCACCTGCAGTAATGCATGAGACAGTCCTCACCAGAGCGCGAGTCACTGACTCACCTTAGGACAGGTGAGAGCAGCTGCTCATCACTCGGCTTTCCCTGCCAGCTGTGCGCAGCTGTGAAGATGTCTGTGTACCCCCCTCGCTCCTGTACGGCGTCAGGTTTCCTCACGAGCCCACGGCTGGATTAAACACGGGTCATTGTGCTTTGTTCCATGTGACCAGTCATGGATTGTTTCCAGACGTCGCCCAGCTCCTCCTGGATTTATCCCACTGTGATCCTCTGCTTATATGGATTCTTCTCCACCATGAGGCCCTCGGAACCGTTCCTTGCCCCATACCTAACAGGCCCAAGTAAAAACCTTACCAGCGAAGAGGTAAGTAAATACACACGTCGTGCTGTGCTTAAAGTGTGCAGGACATGGACGAGGAGAGAGGGCCGGGACTCCTGCCCCTGCAAACAGGTAGCTACCCCGACCTCCATCAGCCCCTTTCACGCATCTGTCAGGTAGGAAAACTGTTCAAAGTCCTCCTTCATCCTCACACTGCAAGTGAGAAACCAAACACGCGCCCCGGGACGCAGATCTGTAACTTCTGCAGAGCCTGGCGCACCCCAGCGCGGGGAGCCCCGTCCCCGCGGCCCTGTGGCACCGGGCTGATACCGAGTCGCCCACACAGGACAGGTTGGGTGAAGCTCTCAGGCCGCCTCAGGGTGAGCAGAGTGTGAGGCGGGGCTGAAGCTGCTGGGGGCACTGTGGGGCTGTGAACAGCCACCACAGGTAAGACGCTGACTTCCCTGGGAGCTTTATCTCCCCCAGAAGGTCAAATTCTCTCACTTAACTCTCCCTCTTTCTTACAACAAGAAATTGCACTGGCCCGGCTGGAGAATGACCCCAGCTGGTTTTGGGACCAGAGCTCAGAAAACACTGCAGGGTGCCAGGCCTCTGGAAGGCCCGCGGGCAGGGCTGCTGGGTGGTGAGTGGTGAGGGCAGCTGTTCTGCTGTGCTAAAGTCAGGTGGAGACAACTCTAGCCCACGGTGCCAGGAGTCACGTGTCACGATTCATGCAAATACACAGGTGCAGGGTGGACCCGGAGCCCACTGGGTTGCTTCTGTGATCCTTAGGATCTGGTCCCTGGGCCGCCCTCAGAAGTTTGGCCCAGCTCTCCAGACTTTCAGATGGCTGAGGGTTCCTCTTCACTGACAACGGGACCAGCTGAGGGCGCTGTCGAAAGCGGGGGGCACAGACCAAGGCGGGAGTCTTCCCCTGCAAACACCCTGCCCCCAAGACCAACAGCCTCTGCAGTTTCCCTTTAGGACTGAACAGGGAGACGCGTGCATTTCTGACTCAGTCCCCAGAGACCCATAGTAAACAGATGCCAGACTGAGGAAGAGTGACATCATTGTAGCTGGGGGGAAAGAGGTTTCAGAGAACAGAAAGTCTGACCAAGGGATGATGTTCTTGTTACATCTGAGGAGAGAAATCAAATACTGTACAAAAATGGAAAACAATTCAAGAAAATTAAAGAAAGAAAGGAAGAAAATGGTCTTTATATCTTCGCCTGTGTGTTCATCCAGACTTTGGGAAGGCTGACATATGTGACCCTATGATGGATGAAATAAAAAATGAAGGAGGTCAGCGTCTCTGACCTCGTAGATGTTTGATCTATGAACAAGATGGGGACGTCTGATGAGTTTAAATAACACACAAATGTCTTTGCAAGTAACTAATTTACTCCACTGTCCATTCCATTTGAACTTACCGTACTTCGGATGGTACACTAAGCCAATATTCTGCTGGATGCGGGCCAATACATACATGTTTTATTCTGTTGTTGTTGGAGGAGACATCTCTAGTTTCCTAGTGAGTTTCTTGAAAATCTATTTCCTTTTGTGCTTTTCCATATGACAAGCATTCTACTAAGTCGGACGCAGAACTTGCTCGTGGGCCCCACAGGTCCGAGGAGCGCAAGTCTGAGGTGACCCTGCTCGCTCTGCGGCTCACGGTCACCTGATGCTTCCACTTCGCAGATCACAAATGAGGTCTTCCCGGTGTGGACGTACTCTTACCTGCTGCTGCTGCTCCCGGTGTACAAGCCGGTCATCATCCTGCAGGGGGTCAGCTTCATCGTCACCTGGCTGATGCTCTTGTTCGCCCACGGAGTGAAGGCCATGCAGGTCATGGAGTTCTTCTTCGGGATGGTCACGGCCACCGAGGTGGCCTACTACGCCTACATCTACAGCGTGGTCAGCCCCGAGCACTACCAGAGGGTCAGCGGCTACTGCAGGAGCGTCATGCTGGCGGCCTACACCGTGGCCTCGGTGCTGGCCCAGCTCCTGGTGTCCCTGGCCCGCCTGCCCTACTTCTACCTCAACGCCATCTCCCTGGCCTCGGTCTCCCTGGCCTGCCTGTGCTCCCTTTTTCTCCCCATGCCCAGGAAGAGCTTGTTTTTTCATGCCAAGCGCAGCCTGGAAGTTGAGAAGTCGCCCAGCAGGGAGGCCGCGGTGGAGGAGGCCCCTGAGTGGGAGGCGCCCGGCTGGGCCGAGGAGAAGCCCACCTCGCGGGTGCCCACCGTCTCGGGGCAGCTGGCCGGCGGCCGGGGGAGGAGCGCCAGGGCCGACAGCTCGGCGTGGGGGGTGTGTGTGCGGTGGGTGCGTGACCTGAGGCAATGCTACTCCTGCCGGCGCCTGCTCTACTGGTCCCTGTGGTGGGCGTCTTCCACGGCGGGCTACAACCAGGTGGTGAACTACATCCAGGTGCTGTGGGATTCCAAGGCCGCGTCGCAAGACTCTCTGGTCTATAACGGGGCGGTGGAGGCGTTGGCGACCTTCGGGGGTGAGTGCGCACCGGGCACCGGTCGGCTTTCATAGGTGACCCATTAACTTGGAATCCACGTGCTGAGCTGTCCCGTGGAATAATGGAAAACTCAGGAGTGGAAGACACTGAGGGAGAAAGAGGCACCCGACTCTTCTCTTAAACTGTAGGAGTGACCAGAGGTCAGTCAGGAGCTCAGGACTTCGCACCACAATTTAATTCATTCCAAATTCCTAGGATTCCGTGTCAGCTTCAGGAAATGAGTTAGGAGTGTCTCCTATTCTTCCAGGATTGTTCTGAATATCAGAAGGAAAATAAACATCTTGGTATAAGTAGGGAGTTTTTATTTTAGGCAATGAACTCAACTATGATGGCTTTCACCTTATTGCTGGAATTTATCTATTAATATGTGTACTAATGAATGATGTGACTGCTTGTACCCACCTACAGCATTTCTGGGGTATCCACCAAAAAGTCTTTCAAAAGGAGTTTTCTCATGAGGCTTCCATGAGGAGTGGGGGCCATGTGAGAAGCAGGATTTTAATAATAGTCAAATCTGTCTTTGCGTTTACTCTCTAGTAAATGTTTATACTTTGGTAAGTTTGAAAAAAATTATCTGATACTGTGAAGCTATTTTCTAGGAAGTGGAGATTTCCATGCCCTCATATACAAGGAATTTTAGAAAACTTATGGAACTGCTGTTCTATTTTGTCTTGCTTTTGGGAGATTT